CACAGCCGTCCGTTCAAGAAGATCCTCCTCCACCGCGGCCCCTTCGCGAGGCCGGTGGCCGATTGTGCTGCCCGGAAGGGGGGGGGGGGCCGGGGTGGGGGGGTTTCCCTCTCACGCTCTCACCCTTCGGCTGTCTATACAAGCTGGGACAAGAAGGAATGGGGGCATGCGCCGGGCTCGCACACGAGGGGAGGGCCTGGGCTAAAGAAATGCCCAAGGGAGAAGGAGCATGTCCCCCCCCCCCCCCCCTCCCCCCCCACTCCCCCCGGCCGCTGGCTCGCTCCTGGCCTTGGGCCTGCCCGGAAAGGGCCACGGCACACGCCGACTGGGCCGCGTACACCACCCACACAGCCAAAGGCCTTTGGTTCCGGGGGGCGGGGGAGCGCCGTATGCCGCGTGCCTTTTGTGGACGATCCACCGTCGCGAGCGGGACATGCCGCGGTGGGGTGCAGCGTCTCCCTCTCTCCCTGTCCGGCCCCTGGGACGGAGGGGGGGGGGGGGGGGGGCCAGAGAGGGCAAGAGAACGAAGGAGACAGAAAGGAAGACGATGGAGCCCGAACAGTGCCCGGGCATCCCTCATGCCTGAGTACCCGGATGCGTGCGTGGGGGGTGCTCATGTCCGCATCCGTGTGCGAGTGCACACGCTGGGCCAAGTGCCCAGGGGGGGGGGGGCCTGGAGGAACATAAAAGACCTCGGGCGGTATCCTCGCGCCGCCGCCGGGGGCGGGGGGGAGGGATCCTTTACCAATCGGGCATCTGTGGCGGGGTTCTGGGAACGGGCCCTTCAACGTCGATAAACGCGGAGATGGTGACCCCCCCCCCCCCCCCGAGCCCCAGGGAGCGAGAGATGGCGCCAGCGGTATTTTTTGTCTGCCGGAGTCGGCGGACACCTTGGTCCGGCGCGCGCGTGTGAGCCACCTGCGCGCCGGCCGCGGCGGGGCATTCTCCCGGAACCATCCCTCGACTGGCTCCCCCCCCCCCCCCTGCCCCCGGGCGCAGGCTGACCTGAAGAAAAAAGGTGGCCTTTTCCCGGTTGGGCAAGCGGTTCCCAGCGACCTGTCCCCGGCTGGTCCCGGCGACGAGCGCCCGCGCGGGGGTGGTCCTCTGGGATGCCGGCGCCCGGGCACGCAGGAGCCGACGCCGGATTGGCACCTGCCTGTGAACCGGGGTTGCGACCATTGAAAACTCACCCTCCGGCTGATCGGGGGGCGGCGGCAGGGGAAGACGACAATCAGATGGCACCTGCGCGCGTGCGTCCGTGCGTGCGCCCCTCACTAGGCACCGGGGCGGCCGCGCCCCCGGGAAAAGGAGTGCCCAGCCCTCCCCCGGTGCAGGCGCCGTTCACCGGCGCAAATCGGGGAGGGTAAGCCTGACACTAGGGTTGGGGCAGCCCCGAAACACACCGCGGCAAGAGGTTAACAGACACACGCACACACACATGCACGCGCCAGCCACACACACACACACACACACACTTTCATGGGTGGTGCGTGTGCTCACGGGCCGGCTGGCCGCCCTTGCCGCAATGAAGCACGCGACACCCGCTCCCGGACGGGAGCAGGGGGCGGGGGGGGGGGGGGGCGGCATGGGCGGACGGATCAATTGCGGGACAGGCCCGGCCCCAGGCCGGGCCTTGGGCAGGTTTTCCCCCTTGAGCGTGTTTACCCGGCGAAAATATGCCCAATTGCCGAGGAGAACCGCATACACATGCACACACACACACACACACACACACACACAACAAGCACGTACGACGCATGCGGAGGAGGCCCGGGAGTCACTCCCGAGGGCCCCTGAAACAGTGCCATGCCTGATTGGGTATCATGGTCTGGCTCATCGGAGCAGGCTGGCCGCTCCAGACAACGCCCGTCCAGGATGCCCCGCAGCATTGGGGCCGGATGGGGGGCGTGGGCGCGGGCGGGCGAGTCAGACAACCAGTGTTGAGGGTCCAGGACGGGGGAGAGGCGCGAGGGAGAACGAGGGTAAAAAACAATCCACCATCCTGCTGGCCCGGGGGGATTCTGTCATCGGTTGTGCCCCCCGCCCAGGCAGGCCCCGCGGGCGGGACCCGGGCGTTGGGACTCCCTTGGCCGTATGGGGAAAGCAACCTTGACAGCCCCGCGGGCCCGCCAGTGCTCGGACCTGGTCGCGATCGGGCGTCCCCCGCGCCAGTGACCAACAAAGGGCAGGCACACAACACCACCACACAGCCAGGAGATGATGGCCCAGGGTGGCGGGCATTGAGGCGGCGCGGCCCCGGGCCGCCAGGACCGAGGGCCGGGAGGAAAATGAAGTATGCTGTCCGGCGCCGCCCGCCGGCTCCGGGCAGCGCGGATGGCCAGGGAGGAGGAATAAATGACCAAAAATAGTCCCCCCCCCCCCGTATATACCCAAATGGGAGGGGCCTCTCTCCGGTCATATGGCTTTTTCGAGGGAGACGCCCGACAAGGACACACGTACACACCAGCACGTACATGCACACAACACACACACACACGCACACACGCCCAGATGCTGCCCCGTTCCGGGTACACCTCCCGCGTGAGTGTCCCCCAGCGTTTTGTTTATTTTGATTCACTCCTGCCCACTTCTCGGCCCGCCCCTTCCGCTGACTGCGCGCACTGCGGAGGCACGCGCGCATGTACATGTGCCGCCGCGCCAAGGGGCCAAGCATGTGTCTCGCGGCTCAGCCAGGGGGCCAGGCCCATTGATCGGGCAGTTTTCCAGTCCACCCCCCTCCCGGCGTGGCGGGCCGGCGTGTGGAGGAGCTGCCTCTTCCACACGCCGAGGGCCGTGTGCGGTCACACGCCGCTCCAGGCTGTGTCACCCGTGCGAGGGCCTGCCCCCACCTGTCCGTGTGTGTGTGTGTGTGTGTGTGTGCACCTGCCCCCCCCCCCCCCCCCCCCCCCCGGGGCGGGGCCCCGGGGTGGGTGGGCCCAACTCGACCACAGGCCCGGAGGCCCCCCCCTCCGGAAGAGGAAGCCCCCCAGCTTGGCACCCTCAGGTGCCCAGGGGTCCCGCGTCCGTCAGCCGACGTTAGATGATGGCCAGTTTTGGCATCCCCCCCCCCCCCCCCCCAAACGCAGAAGACAGAAAACGCCCCGCCCCCCCTCCCCTCCCGTCTTCACCCCCTGCACCACTTCCAACTACCAGCCAGCCTGTCGCATCGCCGCCCCCTCTCCTTGTCGTCCCTCCCGCGCCAAGGATCCCACCCTCCCCGCGTCCGAGCTGTGGGGCGGGCTGACACGTGCGTATATTGTCCATGCAGGTCAGTAGTATTCTCCCTCAATGACACTGAAGTGATTCGGCCGGTATGAGGGATGGTAGGTGATGGCCGACAGCCAGTCCCGCCGGGAGGCCGCACACGGAGCCGCCAGGATGAGCTGTCTGCCGTCCTGGAAAACCAAGCGGAATTGGTGAGCCCGGCCGGTTGGCCCAGAGGGGAGCCCTTCGGCCAGGGTGCAAGTGCGCAGCTCGACTCGACTGCGAAGTTGGCCGACGTGGGTTTTCTGTCGACGGGAGCGGCCACAGAGGGAATAAGGAGGTAAGCATGGGCCATGTGTGTGTGTGAGTGTGTGCGCGTGCGCTCAGAAGCACATGCAAGTGAGTGCGTGGATTCGGCCAAGCGCGTACATCAATCTGACGATAGAAAAAGGCCTGGCGGCCACGCAGGACTGCCCAGCGTTTCTTCCAACCCTACACACACACACACGCATTCGAGGGGAAATTACAATGCCAGACAGGAGAGCGCAAGAGTCAGTTCCCCGACGGAAAAAGAGCCACGCGTGAGAGCACAAGAGGGAGAGAGGTGGCCATGGGCGAGGCAAAGAGGAGGGGGGGGAGGTAGAGAGAGAGAAGGCGAGCAAGCGAGAGAGAGAGAGAGAGAGAGAGAGAGGGCGGGCGAGAGGGAGGCAAAGAGGGCGAGCGGGAGAGCGAGCGGGACAGATAGAGACAGAAGGATGTCGGCAACGTGAAAGGTACACACCCAACCATACTTTGAGCGCTTGAACAGCCAGCCCGAATAAATGGGTGTCTCCTTGGAAGCAATCACATTCATCAGAGCCGAGTACCAAACTGCATGCGCCGAGGGAGATGGCGCATGCAGGACAAACACGCGCCCGGGTGTCTCGATGAAAAGATACAGATGCCGATGCTGTAGCGGAGGCTCCTCCCGGGCCGGGACAGCTGCACCCAGGACAAAAGCCGTCAGGCGGCATCCTTTTGTCAGTGGTGGGGGCGGCAGCCACGGCATCGGCATGCAAGCAGGGAAATGGGTGCAGGTGGATAAAAAAGAAGCACGGCTCCGGTGTGACGCACTAAGGGCCGCGCTCGAGGAGCCGCCATGCGGCATGTCGGGCATTTCATCTGACGAGCCATCTGTATCATCCAGGAAGGTCTCCCCGGAGAGGGGGAGGCAGTGGCCGCCATCCTCCTCGTCCCCATCGAAACACACCGGCGAGGGAGTGCGTCGGTCGGCATCCACCGCGGTTAAATCACCCTCGCCGCCGGTGTTGCCGCTCCTGCCAGCAGTGTCGCGAGGATCCATCATGTCGAACAAGTCACCAAAGCTCGGGGAGGTGGACACCGGCAGTCGAGGAAGCAAATTGGCGGCCGAATCCACCGGCTGGATGCTGATGGCGGCCGTTCCGGCCGAAAGGAAGGCCTCCTGGTAGAGGCGCGTCTCGGCTTGGAGCATCTCCCGACGGGAAACCTGGCCCCCGGGACCGAAGCCCCCGATCTGCCCGGCTCGCTGGCGCAAATCCGGCAAGTAGCCCTGGCGAACGCTCAGGACATTGCTGACGTCGATGGTTCGTAAGCTGGAGGTGTCATGTGAAAGGACCGTCTGCGGGATGTGGTCCGCGGCGTCATCGGCAAGGGGCTTTTCACTGGCAGAGGCACCACTGCCCGACGTGCCGGACCCCGAGAGGGCTTTGGTATGGTGGCGAGTGATCGGGCCGCTTGGCTGGGAGAGCCCCTCCGACCCGGCACATGTGAGCAGGGCCACCGCCGGAAGCATGAATTCCGTGGTCAGCAGGCGCGTGTACAGCGAGGCGATCTTCGGTGACCGGGTGCACCCCCGGCACAGGAGCCCATCAGCCTCGAGGAGATTCCAGTCAGTGGGGGAGGCGCCACCCGAGGCCGGGCCATTCCCAGGGCTGGAGGCCGCCATGGCGGCCCAGGAGCCGGATGTCCGCCGCTTGGAGCCACCAAGATCGGCTGGTCGATCCTCCAGCGAGGCGTAAATGGAATGGTAATCGCCCATGCGTGCTGGCGCCCGATGATACGAGAAGAGACCGGTCTCCATGGAGAGGGTAAACCAGCGGCGGCGGAACTTCTGTCTCGCGAACCCCCCCCCCCCCCCCGCGCACGCGGGCCGGCCCCCAGAGCATGGACAGAGGGCAGAAAAGAAGGGCACACCAAAGTCAGGATCAAGGGAACGGGCCGCGGCGCGGCGGGGAGGGGAGGGGGGAGGTACAAAGTGGCAGCTTGAAGCGACGGTGGCTCACAAAAAGCACACACAGACACACCTTATTCGTGTCGCCCTGCTTTTCCATCCAGCCACAGAGAACGCTATCTTGATCGGTGAAGCGCGAGGCCCCGGCATCGGCCTGTATCCGAGACTGGGGCGAAAGGAGGACCATATCGGGCTTGGGCCCTGTTGCTTGGGCATACTCCGTGGGGATGAGAGCAAAGCCAAGTGGCACTGGCAGCAGGCGATACTGGCGCTTGAATCCGGCACACGAAAGTACGATATAATCCTCGGCCAGCGAGGGAGGTGGCCGATCCGGGCGCGATGGCGACTGTGCCGTGCCCGGGCGAATGGCCAGCAGGTCGGCAGGTAGGGTGACCCCCGTGGCTGAGGCAGGCCTTTCAGCCGGCTCATCGCCCTGGCTAATGGCCGCCGCTGCGGCATACGCCGCCGCCGCCTCGGCCGGGAAGGACCCGGTCGACACGCGCCACTCCATATCCCGGATGAAAATGAGGATGCTCTCGGCTGTCTGGAGAGACTGCAAAAGGAGCGACGCATCGGGGCCAGTGCTACCATCCTCCGGCGAGGACCGGAGGAGCAGGCGCTCCAGCGATCGCGAGAGCGTCGATTGGGACACTCGCCATGATGGCGGGGACGACTGGGGGGGGGGGGGGGCGGGGGGGTGTGGGGGGCCGGGGGGGGGGGGGGGGGGGGGGGGGGGGGGGGGGGGGGGGGCGTTCGACCGCGG